CTTTTCAAATTTCTTGTCCATTCAAGTTTTTCCCTTAATGAATCTGAACATGAAACACTTAACGGTTTAAAACACAAATAGTTTACAGTACGTTCGATGTAAAATTCTAAAAGAATTGATCGTGATTAAAAATGTATCACTTAATCTTTTTTTAATAAAAACACTTAACAGCTTAAAACCGAAGAATCGGGGAAACGGATACATTTCGCGTTTTAAACCGTTCTATAAAAAGTGTCCTATTTGAATGTAACTACACGTGTAAGCTACAAACAAGTATTAACTGATATTTTTCTCTTTCAACCTTTAGAAGTAATTTGACGTCTCCTGATTGACGCGAAGCGTTATACAATTGAACTATGAAGATATATAGAGAAATACTATCTGGAGATTACACTTTACGGTTGAAAACGCAATTTCTATTAGTTAAAATAATTTTCAAATAATTTTACCGTTTACCGATATAAAAAATTAAATTACCCGTAAACATGAGCTGCCAGGCGAAGGGTAGATGTATCAATTAGCCTCTGTTTGTACTTCATAACGGTAATTAATTTATGGCAAAACGTGATCGTTAATAGTAATTAATTCGCACAGTCTATTTCGGATAGTTGGGAATTGACCTAAATATGACTAATAAGTTATGAACGCTAAATTATGTTTCTTGTTATAATGTTTCATTGATTATACATAGATATATTAATTAAATATTTACTATATAATAAAAGGTGTTTGTGTGTTGAATGAAGTAACAGTGTGTTACAGTTTGTGTTTTTAAAAGCCCGACAAGGATTGAAATTGAAGCTTATAAATAATACTAGCATGTCACCTCGTATTTTTGTCCGGATAAAGAAAAATCAATTCCTTTACTTTTCAAACTCCTACATTAAAATTATTTCAGCATCAAATAGAATTAACACGTACCTAATACATGGCATAAGTAAGAGACTTGATTAAATAAAATATAAATTAATATGAACAATTTGTTATAAAATTAGATCCAAAAAACTCGATGGGCGGGATTCGAATCCACGAACAGATCATTATACTCTCAATTGGAACCTAATTTGAGTTCCGGGATCAAACGCCAAAAATCATAAATGGATTGTATATGTATATAAGCCAGCAATTATTTAAAATTAGTTAATTATATAGTTTACAGCGTTTTGATAAGGTCCTACTGTTTATAATTATGTACTGTGCTTTTCGGGTGGCTATTGTGTAAACACTGTTAGTACGGATTTTCGATACTGACCGAGGCTAACGATAATTATTATTAACGGTCCATTACGAACCCAATATCTGGCGCACTGAACACGCTGTTCTGTCATTTGATAGTATAATTTTACACTTCGGAGCTTAAACGTTACTTGTATCTTTATAGTAGCGATAAGAATGAGGGTCTGACTCATGTTCGAATCTCAACTGCTCAAAATTATTTTGTTTAAATAAAACGCGTTTTCTGTTGAAGTTTTTATTCTTGAACGTGTTTTGTATTTTGTGAGTCGCCTATGTGAACTAGGGTTAATGCAGACAGTGGTACAATTCATTTGTTCTTATACATTATTGACGGAGTTCAGCTTATTTCTATAACAAATTGCCCTCCCGATGGAGCGAATATCGCCGCAAAGCATTCGCTCGAGTTAGATAAAGGTCAGCGCACACTGCGTAGACATTTCACATTTAGAAAGTACAGTTTGTTGATGATAAAGTCCATATTACAGTACTTAGAAGATTATTTTAGATTACCTTTAAGGATTCTAACACAAAAAAGTAAATACGGAAATCTCTTTAGTTAGATTTCGCTGTCTGTCTTTCTGGTATTTTATCTATGATGTCAAAGTCTACGGAGTTGAATTTTTAACCAAATTACTCAATCAAATCAAAGTATATTCTTTTTTCACTTAACTGTTTTCTATTTGCAAGCCATTTCGAAGTTTAAATTAAACATTTAAAAAGTTACCTCGTTGGTCGCCATGTTGCGGAGTAGAAGATCGTTCCATTTTTAAATTAAACGACAAATTTGATTTTACATAGTAATTTTTTAACTATACACGACAGATATCTTTATACAGCTATAGCCAGCCGCTACTCGACCAGTAAAGCAAGTTCAATTTTCTCGAAAAGGGTCAAAATAATGTTGAAATTTCCAAGTATGTTAGAGAATTCATGCAACGTAACGTGAATTCATGCGACAACCTGACTCGTACAGGGAAGGTTATTTAAATTACGAAAATATCATTTAAACTAAGTTATGCTCAGTTTAAATGATATATAAAAAGATAAAATTTCTTTCTGTGTACAGCTGTTTCACAGTAAGACGTATGTGTATTAAAAAGTTATTAAATCTTATAGTATTCAAACTAAAATTTCACACTGATTCTGCGAGATAAATTAGTCTTTACAAAGTTTTATCAAAATCTTTTACGTGACTTGTGGATGAACCAAAAACGTTATAAGTATAAAAAGAATCCAACGTTTTTAAGATATTTAATGTTTATAATCGACTTTGTTGAACACTTCTTCAAATGATATGTGTTCCCTGGTGTACTGCAGTCCTTATTTCATAGCGGAAAACCTACCTCGGAGTCTATAATCTGATTTATGTCTGGAGCGACTGTGCGAGAGGAATATTACTTAGATCTCATAACGTCCGTGCCTGGGCCGTGGCTCTGATCACTCTAATCCACTTATACTTTCCTGGTACTTTGTACCGTCGTTGGCAATCGAAATCCTCCAATACCCAGAATATCAGCTATATTTAATTAGACTAGCTCTCCCCGCGGTGTTCCTTCTTTTATGATATAGGAGGAGAGACAAGAATGAGGTTCACTTCATGATAGATGAAAAACCCCGGCCATCCAAACAAGATGCGTCGTCGACCTATTTTGGCTTTGGATATTCGGAAATCCTACGACTAAATACTGTCTATAGTTTACGCGAGTAGTACACATTTAAATAAAACACTTTAACGGTTTAAAACGCGATATATTAGTTAGATTTACGTGACCACGGCTGCTGCAAAGCATCCGAAACGTCGGGCCGAAGTTAAAAATCATCTTCAAATAAGTTTAACTAATATATCGCGTTTTAAACCGTTAAAGTGTTTTATTTAAATCCTACGACTATGACGAACAGAAACCTGATTAAACTTCTCAGCTTTTTCACCTGTGAACAGCGGTTCGTGACACGGGTGGAATTTCGATAATACTACCATCCATTCAATATCGAGATATCCAAATGAAGTCGAATATGTTTCAGAAAAATTATAAATGTTGAAACCGGTGGGAATTGAATCTACGATCAACGTATTATTAGCCGTACATTGCTACCAAGCTCGTCAAAAACCTGTGGATGAACATTTTGTATGACGTAGTACGTATGACGCAGGCCGTTTTTTTTAACTGGCGGCGTGAATGCCTAATGCACGCCCACGTCGGGCAATAGTGACGTGGGGAGTGTCGTAAAGCAACCTCCTCGGAGACAATACTCGATAAGAACCACTAAACACACTACCAGCCCGCTACGGTGCTTTGAGGGAGTCCGGGGGACATGTTTATACGACTCCAAAGCACGTAGGAGGCCTAGACGATGGAAGGATGGCCTTTTATCATTAGAGTGACGAAGTACCTACACGCAGGTTATTTTAAAGAAAACTCTTTAGTTGATTAAAAGTATAAATATTACAAATTGCAACGAAACGACGGTTTGAAATGCCACAAATTAGTTGGCCGCCACCGCACATAAAACTAAAAAAATTCTTACATCTATCGTGGGCCTCCATCACCCATGGATTATTATTTTAACGTTTATGTGACTTTATACTAGATGACAAAACTCATTTCGATAAAATCTATACTAATATATAAAGCTGAAGAGTTTGTTTGTTTGAACGCGCTAATCTCAGGAACTACAGGTTCGAATTGAAAAATTATTTTTGTGTTGGGCCTGATAGGAAAGAAGAAACAGCGGAAAATGTGGAAATAACGGTGGAAATTTTTAATCTCTCTGGATGCGTACGCTCCGATAACAGTTCTTCAGTTTTCAAATAAACGTAAGTGTTGTATTTAAATTTTAATATGAATTAATTCAAATACTAAACACGTAATAGTGATACTTGTTTGAATACATAAACTATGTCTATAATTATATGGTAGCTGAGCTTTGTTGTGTGTAGTCGAAACGTCTATTGATCGTAGGTAACGTAATATGAAATGCACCAGAGGGAATTCCGGGAACAAGGAACGAAAGTAATTACATTTTCAATACGAGTCGACATAAATATTATTCGCAATACTTGATATTGCGAATAATATTGATGTTATGGCATATGGTGATTACGATACGCGTTTTTATTAAGTTACGATTGTTTTGTTATCAATAGATTATAGCAAATTGATAAACAACATATTTCTAACTTTGCATTTTTGATAAACAAACACAATTAACAATCATGATATCGTGATGTTCTCACAAGATTACATTGATTTTTACTAAAAACACTTTGAGCCACTGGTTTATACATTATACTAATGAACTACCTCAAATTCACTTAGTAAAAACAAAGTCCTAAAAATGAATTTACGTAAAAGCATAGATTAAAATTTCTTTACTTTAGCTTTAAATAGGGATGGGATGTAAGCAAAGTTACTGACAATAGAAGGTCTTACGCATGCACGATCACTGAAAAGCGTTACAAACGCCGAATTAAGTATTAGTGACATAAAAAAAATAGTTACAAAAGAGATCGTCGTATACAATATATTTCACCGCTGTGTCATCTGTGGCAACAATTTCACTCCATAAAAGGTTATCACTCGTTGTTATAGTTTGAAATCGGCCATATTTCATGTGGTCTTTTGCCAAGTTAAAAAAAATACACTATAACATTACTTTTAATTTTGATTTCCACGATAGACAATAAAAATGCTTACTGTATTTGTCACGAGAATTTAATAAATCATTATTAATATTGTGATATTAATTTAATGGCTATTAATATTCTAATCAGAATCGACTGTCATCTCCAAGAAGGCCCTAACTTCACCGGTAAGTTTATCTAACAATTCGTTAGAGACCAACTTCAAATATTTACCAATATCTTCAATTATATCTCTTATATGCTTACTGATATTAACGGATTCCTCATTGCTAACCCACGTGAAGAAATAGTTTAAGAATTCCGCAAAAGGATTAGATTTTTTACTATAAATGTTATCCAAGTCTGTAAGAATAGCATGCAAAAGGAGACTGTCGTGGGATAACTTCTCATCTGTATTTGTGGTTATAAACTGTAATCTCGCGGCGATTATCTTTTGAACAGCTGACAGCAATTCTTTAGTCGGTACACTATCAGAATAAGCCATGTCGTTTAGTACTACTTGAAACTCATGAGCCGTCGTTTCGCTTAAGTAATTGTAAAATGGTGTATCGTACAACGCTTCGTAGACAAACTTTATAAAAGTCCTGGCTTTAGCTTCGTCTGTTATTTTCAAATGCTCAAGAATCGAGTTCAAACTAATAGTGCAGTCGTACCTTTTGACGCATAGATGGCGCTCATAACAAAGTTTGTTCAAATATTTCATTTCGACTATTACCGTTGCTAGAATGAATTTCTGCGTTAGTTTTTTATCCATTTTATTTCTGTCGACTTGTAAATGACCCTCCGCGCATGATAGTGTCATTTCTTGAAATTTACCGCTTATTTTCTTAACGATATTAATCCAGATATTCTCATCGTTGTTATCACCATTATCTTCCTTTAACATTAATCTTATGGAATCCAAAGTGTGTTTTAATCGCAGTTCATACACATCGCTATTAAAACCGTTTAATAATGCATTTAACAGATTTTCCATACCTTTTGCTTGCACTGTTACGTATTCGTTGACGAATTTATGCATGCCTTCCTGGCAGAGGTCCAAGTCTCGACAAAGCAGCGACATTTTAACGACCTCCGTTATTTTATCTTCTTGTAGGGGCATTAATGAACGTCGTGCGTTCATAGGAATCGAGTCTCCAAGAAAACGTGTTAGAGTCTGAACCACTTCTTTACCCAGACTTAAGGTACCTTGCATATCGACTTTTACGCATTGAATAAAATAAAAATTTAGTACTATGAGAAATTTAGATAAAAACATGTGAAATATAGTCAAACGCATATCGTTTCAGTGTTTTTTATTGTTTATATATTCCTCGTTGGTAATCGGAATATTTTATAGTGTCGTAAATTTTGAAACTAGGTGTATGTTTAGTTCACTTTTATTCAAATGTTTCAAAAACAAGATAAAGACGAACGTTTAACTCAATCTCGGTTATCATCTATATGAAAATGTAATATGCTATTTTATATTTGAGCTTTCAATATTTTTTTATACAGCTAGGCGTTTATTGATGAAAACATTTTAGAAGTTAAACCCAAAATGTTACCTACTCCCTAACAAATATTGTATTTCAATTGGTTAGAGCAACAGCATGGAACGGTGTGGATGCCGGTTCAAGTGGCGCCTGAGCAATTTTTTTTTTCAATTTATAACTAATTTAGTGCCACGTCATGTGCAGGTTATAAAAATTGTATTTCCTATTAATCTAATATTTATTATTATTTTGCCATGGGACATTGGGAAGAGTAACTAAAAAAACAAAACTAAAAGGGACATCCCCATCTCAAGCAGATACAATAAAACACAAAGTACAGATAATTATTTATTGGGCTAGCCCTGTTTCTGCGCGATTTCCCTAGCCTTGGCCTTCTCGAGTTTGGCGATCCTCGCGTTGGACTTGTTACCGAGGACACCACCTCCCCAGTGCTTGCGCAGCTCTTCGTAGCGCTCGTTGAAGTTCGTTCTGATAGCCTCGACCACCTTCGAGAAGGCAGCGCGGTCTCCGGCCTCCACCTTAAAAGTAAATGGATATGTAATATACAAACAATATTGGGATTATAGAAAAATACATATAAATTTATTTCAACATTAATATACAAATCCCTATTTTTATAACTAAATAAAAAACCAAATTAAAATACTGTACACATTGTTTAAACTATTTACAATAAATTTAAACGATACGTTAAAGAAATGAAAATAAAAATCTCTTCAAGATGATATATTCAGATACATCTATATTGGTGGTAGAAAGGTTGACCTCATGGCATTCAGATAGCAAATAAATCATCATAATATAACCATCTTGAAGAACAAACATATCTATAAATAGAGACATCAGTCTGTACATTGCAAACACACTCGACTTCTGTTTTTATTAGCTGTTTAGACACCAAGAATTTTAAGTACATGTCAATCTTTACATCATACACTCAAATTTAGCACAAAATAAACTTACATTTGTGAGCGCTAAGCAAGTGCATGTCTTGCGGTGAACGAGAGCTCCGAGGCGAGACTTCCCCTTGACAATACAGTATGGGACTCCCATTTTACGGCACAGAGCAGGCAGGAACAAGACCAGCTAAAATAAAGACAGGTTTAAGTATTGTTTATAGATTTATATGATCATTTTTGAAATTAAATATCTCAGAGTCAAATGGCTTCATGCATACCCGAATTCATGAATTGTAATTCTTCGAGTTGCTCAGGTGAAGAAATTCTAGCATCATTGAATTGTTTAATAATTAGATATCTATTAACAAGACCCTTAGAAAAGGCTGTCAATCAGCAAAGAAGTGATCAAATATAATTGTTTAGTTTGGTAACAAGTGAAGTATTATTATTTTTATAAGATAAAAAGCCAGTCAAACAACAGATGGGCATAAACTGCATAAGAGTAGTGGCCAAAAAGAGTTTGGTCTAACAGGAGTAATTGGGTGACATCCAGTAACTGCTTAGACCCGGCTTAGAATACATGGAACAGTCTAACCTAGCAAGAGTGAGAAGGTCGATAGAAAATTCATAGAAAAAATAGAAAACCTATTAATTAAATATATGTCACAACGGAAGACAAAGTGCGATATTTACTTATTTTATTAGTTGCCAGTAGACATCAGAGCTTTGTTTTTCGTAGATTTACCATGGATTTAACTTTTTGAGTTTGAGATTTAGAGAACAAGATAGTGACCTACGAAATGGATGAAATAGCAATATGCAGTATAAAAACAAACCTCAATAGGGTCAACATCATGAGCGATGACAACAAGCTGTGCCTTCTTCTTCTCAACCAGCTTGGTGACTGTGTTGGTTCCAGACCGGATGGTGTTTGGCCTCTTCGCTGGGGGCTCATCTTTCTTAGCAATCTGAAAAAGGCATCTATTAGATACTGTTCCTCTCTATTACCTTGAGTAAAGTTTGCTATGGTGTCATCAGAGATCTTGGTGGTTAGTGGTCGTCATGGCCATCAGAATATTTTGTTATGCATCATGAACAAGTGGCTAAATAAAACATATACAATGTGTAACATAAATACGATAATAAAATAAATAAGAAACTACCATTGAAAATCCTATTCCTCAAGAGAAAACCTTATAGGTCAAGCAAAATATTGTTAAATTATGACTAAGTACACTTTAGTGCTGTGACTGCCTCTGTACCCAAATGGTTAAACATATTGCCTAGCCAGGACCTCTTGTGCTTAACGCAATGTTAAGCACAAGAGGTCCTGGGTTCAAATCCCAAGGAAACATAAAATTGTTTTAGTCAGGCAGGGCACAGAAGTCTGATCAACTACTTGCCTGTTAAAAGAATGGATCAGTTAAAACGGACACAGAAATGTGTTCACCCCATGCCCCATGAGGGGGAAACGGGCTTTCACACTTTTATGCTAGGTAGTTTGAGCTATACACAAATAAGTTTCCTGAATTTAAATCTATACATTAAATTTACCAGTCAACACTTTATTTTAATACCACACTATAATGATTAAAGTCGAAGCAAACACAGAAATATAACTTATATCCTACATGCAGAAAGCAATTCCGCCCATTTATACCCAACTCAAACTTCATTTATACCACACTATTCAAAAGTAGGTAGAAATTAAAATAAATAATATACCTTAGCTTCAGCAGCCTTCCTTAATCTCTCTTTCCTGACAGCTTCAGTCTCGGGCCTGTATTTTTCCAAGATCTTGAATAATCCTTTAGCTGAAATTTTTTTAAAACAAGCTATAGGATCAGAATCAAAATGAATCTGTGAAACTGTGTTCAAATACTAAGTCAGAGTTAAAAAGCTCGTTATATTTTTTGATAATCATAGTGATTCATCGTTGCATTTATGGTTCATCATTAAATAGATTAAATTAAACAGACTACTAACAAAATATTAAAATTGTCAACTGTCACAGTTACTCTGAATCATCTAACATCCTGTTCTAGAGGACTTCCATAAGTAATACAGTTAATTTTACCTGTGGTCTTGTCAAGGGTCTGAGTGAACTGGTTGATTGGTGGTGGCACTTTGAGACGCCTCTGAAGAACCGCCTTTTGTCTTTGAATACGTATGTATTTGGGCCATCTCACGAAACGGGATAAGTCACGCGTAGGCTGGATGTCCTGGCCTTGAAAAATATTCTATTAAATACAAAATGTTTCCTAGTCAATACATTACTTAAAAGTTCTGCTGATGAGAATCTGAAGTTTGGAACGCATTTTTATTATAATTAATTACAAGTGAATTATCTTCAGCACAAATAAATTTTATCTTGTAGATTTATAAGGACCAATATCAGAATTAAAAAGCTCGATTTAAAAACCCACATGGTTTTTCGGGTTTGTTGTGATCATCATTTCGGTCCATTGTTTATTTAAAAGTATTATAATAAAATCTCTATAATATACTCACCAATAGCGAAGTTCTTTGTCCTCTTCTCAAATAGAGGGTTTACAAACTTTTTGGGTTCAACCTTCTTGACGACCAGAGGAGCGGCCGCTATTTTCTTTCCTACCTTCTTCTTAGGCTGCAAGTCAGTGAATTATTAAATAAAGGACTTCATAGCTATTTGCTAAATGTGTACTCAGGGACGGCATAGAGAAGAGAATTTTAGAAGAGATGTTTTCAACATGGTCGTATAGGTTAGGTACAAAGTAACCACAATACATAAACTCGATATCACTGCACTTATAACAACAACTGATCTGCGTATTACAAAAACATAAATGAATAACGGGAAGATAAATTCGTAATAGAAAACATGTTTTCAAAGGAAAACATTCACAGCGGAACAACAACGAGACACTGTTAACACATTTCTAATTATTTCATGAACGAAAATATGTACAAATAATTAACGCACATGGCTTTTACCTTCTTCTGCACCATCTTGTTAACACTATATTAAAGTGATCTACAAGTTACGTACGGATACGTAACCCAAACAGAACACAAGACTTTCGGCGAAAATGGCCGAAACAAAAAGACAGATTCGTGTGCCGCTCTGAAAATGACAGTAATCGATGTCAATTTGACATTTTAAAATTGTAAACGTCAATTAAAATATTGCCACTTTAAAAAAATATATTACACTAGACAACAACAAATATTAAGTTTGAGACGAGTGATTCTATTTATTTTACAATTATCAATAATGTTGTAAATAGTTTTACAATTTTGTAATTTTATTGCTTTTTGTTACATTGAAGCGCCATCTGCCGTCTATAGTAAGAACTACGTTAGGTTTTAGATAACCTTAGTTACAAATGTCTCCTACGAGATGTCGCAACTTGGATGATTTTATAAAATACATTATATGTATTTTGTAAAATTATAAATTAAATATGACAATACAATTTTATAAGGACTCGTTTCTTTATTTTAAGGATTGAACTAACATTGCATACAAAATTAGTGTTTACTCGATAAAATAAACAAATCAGTCGATTGATTATTTAAATGTTATACGCATTTAAATAATCAATCGAAGGGAAAATATTTAACATACCTGAAATATTTTACTTATTTATTAAATATGTTACGTGTCACGTTATATTATTATCTACTGTAATAACAATTTCTGCTTAAAAACTAATTTGGTCTTCCCAAACATGAAAATACTGAAGATAATACAAAATAATTATGTAAGTGATGACAGGTAAAAGCGTCAAAACGATTACTGTCAATTATAGGTCTTAATTCAAACAGAAGCGCGCCACTTTAATTGTCGGTTCACCCTCTCGCAGATAACAAGCTATCGTATGGCGCCCTGAAAAACTTTAGTCGCATTAATTGCGTTTAATTACATTATACGTTCGCACCGTATAATTATTAAAACATAATAAATAAGGCGTCCCTCTACGCACGCGCCACCCCACTAAAAGATCCAGATGCCTTCTCCACACGCCTTCTCCGTCCCCCAGTCGGGTATTACCAGGGGAGGCGCGCAAGCGTGTTCTGTGGCTCAACACTATTCCCAATTTATTCCTAAAAATGATCTATCGCTTATACAGATAAAAAATTGAACATTCCATTTTCGAACTGGTGATGAAATGATGATTTTGTTAATTCATAAATCGCGGTTTTGTATGAACGTTTCGTGTTTTGTTTCGTGATTTTGTGATAGCAAGTGATGCCAAGTGGTTATGCTAGTGAAAATGGTAACTGTTTATGGAATTGGATTGCACGCTGTATCGGAGCTTATGGTTCGTTTGTTTTTATTATTCGCGTTAATTTAGGCTTCCGTAAACAGGCGAAACTGTCGTTTTTCTTATAATTACTAATACTCCCCCTCACCTGTAAATGTTCTTTAAGAATTCAAAACATATTGTCTGTAATATACCTTTAAGTGAATTGCACATCTATTCTTCACATTCAAAGAATGAATAAACGACTTATTTACGATATAACGTTAAATATATCCATTTTACGTTATTAGGAAATAATTTACGCACCAAACTAGAATAAGATCGGGCAAAATATAATACGTGGTTATATCTTTGCCTTAAGAATACTAAAGTCTTCTTTTGTCACAAAACTGATGATAGTCGCGTTTCTTAAACTACTCCTTAGACTATATAATTAACTACCTATAGCAAAGCAGCTATAGCTATAGGTAACAGAATTGTAACAATTTTTTTTATATGATAGAGGAGGTAAGCGTGGTTCACTTCATGGTAGGTAGGATATACTCCGGCCATATAATATTTTAACTTTGGATATTCGGAGTCACAATACAAATAAAAAGGAAACAAACACACTTTGGTTTTCGTATGTTTCTGTGTATTCAATGAAATATCTTATCTCATCTAATAAGTCTTAGTAACAAATTACTAAAATTTAAATATTTATTATTCCCAAAGGACTTAAAACACTTTTGACACCCAAAAACTCAAACCTTTCAAAAATGAATAGTATAGACTTCATGGCTCATGTCTGTAGTTTACGATAGAAGTACACATTTATTTTTTATCGTCGGGACGTAGTTAGAATAAATAAACGTATATAATTATACGTATTTCGCGTTTAAGCGTTAAAAAACCTTTAATTATTAAATGAAGATGCTAGAAGCAGAGTGGCCTAATAACGAAAAACTTAGGTGAATATGGATTCGTCCCATTGTTTATGTAAGAATTATCTTAACAATTTTAGGTCACTGTGCTCTTGTAGATTACATTTTTAGACTATTAAAAGTTGATTTACAATCAAGTCATGTAATTGTAGTTAGGCGACTCTGCCTTTAGCGGCCTTATATATGCTATGTGCGTTTATATTGTAACGTAGTCTGCGAAGAGCCTAACGTGAAATGCCAAAGACCTCTGAGTCTAGCTCAGTCTAGGCTTACAAACGAGCGACATATGTCCTTTTATTGCGACGTATTTCAGTTTATTTTTTCCCCTCGCGTGCCGTGCGAGACGTCATTTAAATATGCCTGAACGCTAAGTGCGGAAAACTTACACGTTCAATATGTTAGAAGCAAGTTGTGTAGTCAATATTTTTTTACTTTTGAACCGTCACGATTAGATAAGTCTTTTTTTGGGTTCCGTATCTAAGCGGTAAAAAAGTTACGAGGATGCTGGTTCAAGTCAAAAAATTTTCAATTTATTTTCGATTTTTAAATTATACAGTGTTTTCATGTGCAATAACATGTGAAAAATATTAAAGTTTTCAAAAGTTTAATACTTTTTTATTGATCTTTAGCTAGAAGCTTCATCCACAGCGTTCCGTGCTGTTGCTCTTACTAATTGACCTACCGTGTCTTATATGACGTCGTTTTAAAGTCTAAAATCGATTTTTATGTTATATAACTTTGTCAGAAATTTGTCATCTATCCGCCACGCTACTTTATCAAATTGTGTTAATCCAATGCAGCTAAGACAAACAATAAAATCAAAGCACTCTCTGTAATTTAGGTCTGTAGTTTACGCGAGCAATACATTTCAATAAAATAAACACATTGCACATATAAATAAAACACTTTAACGGTTTAAAACGCGATTTATAGTACTTAAACTTATTTTAACTACGGCCCGACGTTTCGGATGCTTTGTTTGTTGTCTCCCCGTGACCACGGATGCTGCAAAGCATCTGAAACGTCAGATACGCATAGCTAATGATTTGATCATTAATGTATGATAAGCTTAGCGATACGTACTTTACGTATTGCAAATGACTTTAAAATGGATGGAATCCCATTTCTCTGTAACGGTGATTTTTTTCAGACAAATTACAATATAGTGCTTGACTAAAACTATGTATTAGTATATAAATCAGTCAATCGAAACATCGTCTTGACCGATATGATCTTTTGCCTGGGTTCGAACCCGTTTAATGCGAATAGCCATTTAGCTGTAGAGATGACTCAGAGAGTTTTAACAATATCCGTGTCTAACGTCTTTTCAACTCCTCTCTATCCCGAAATTTTATCCTCGCACAGATAATGTGGAATATAAAATGCAAAATCCCTGAATGCCGTCGCTCGGATCTCAAAGAAAGTTTTGAATAATGCAAAATTCGGAAATTCAAAGCGCACAGCCTTTCTATAGAAATAGAAGTGACTGATGTCCGGGCATACAGCTAATTAAACTTTGATTATCTTACTTTTTGGTGAGAATTAACGAATTTTAGGTTAGTACAGTGATTCCCAGAGTGGTGTATATTGACCCCTAGGGGTCTATATTACAACCTGCAAGGGGTCTACGTCAGCGAAAAAAAAATTGGGAGTCCATGAAATGAAAATGGGGGTCCACAGTAGTGGATCTTTTTTACATTGACTCGGTCTTATATTAACAAATTACGACCTTAAATGACTTACTATTTTATATATGGATACTTTTTGACATTTACTCGTATATTCATAATATTTTCAAAGTGATATACGGACAGGAAGAACCCTCTATGCATAATATAATATAATCCTCTAAACAGCTTATCTAAATAGGTTTACAAGCACCTGAATAAACTGACCATTTTGTAATAGCTCAGTGCATATAATATTCAGTTGGTAATAGTACCCAAGAGTCGGGATACGGGATACATTTTAGAAAGGGATTTTGTATAAAAGCAGGGACAGCTTATGTGCTTACTTGTTTTCGTGAGCTTGTAATCAAAAATTTTTATTTAAATGTTAAACTAGAGTACACATACCTATATACAGTCGATTTATTGTCGTCCATTTTTTTTTCTATGCAATACAATAGGATTAATTTTAAAATATTATTTATTAGAAACTTACTGAATTATGTATGTTATTGTTTCTTTTTAAGCTTTTATTTGATATCAAATATACAGGCTTTGGTTTTCTTTAAAACATGTAATTATATAAATATATCGCGTCTATATATGTACTTTTAAGTTAAATATAGGTACCACTACCAGTTAGTACACTGTGGTATTAAGAAAAAGCTTTGCGTAGAATTTAATTATAGTTGCACTAGTTAAAGTTATAATTGTTTGAAAGTTACCAAACAACTATTTCTCACTAAACTATAAACTTCCATGAATTATTCGAGTTACGTTAGGAATTTTGAAACGCTCATCAACAACATAAACCAACAGTCCAAAGGAATAGCGTTTCGTATGTTCTGTGGCCGCTTTCTATTATAACATGAAATTATGTTCAAATTAAAAGTAAAGAGAATATACACTACATTGTTTTATTATTTTTTAAAGGGTAAATCATAAATTCAAAGAAATCTATACTAATATGTAAAACTCTAGAGTTTGTTTGTTTGAACGCCCTAATCTCGGGAACTACTGGTTCGAATTGAAAAATTCTAAAGAACATTTATCAAGGAAGGCTAAAAACATCGCACTGTGGCGGGCGAAGAAAAAGCAGGAAATGTGGAAAAAAGGAGAAAATTATCTTTGTGGATTTCCGTTGCGTATAT